GATATGGCGCCAATTCATTCAAATAGACAGATGGATATGTACTCAATTCAGATAGCTACATGGCTAGCTAGCTAAATAGATAGATAGATAGATAGATAGATAGATAGATAGATAGATAGATAGAACTCCTAATTTGGTTCGGAACAAATCCCATGTCAGCCCAAAAGAAATTCTAATTTAAGATTATGAAAATGCTTGACTTCAGCTGCCTACAATTTGTCTAAAGTTATAGATTTTCAAAGTATTTAAAAAATTTTACACTTAATTTCCTGTCAATTGTTCCCCAAATCACGAAATGTTTTCCAAATCTCGTATTAATTCTATTTAATTATTTTATGCTTTTTACTTTCTAAATTAGAATTTATTATACGCGTATTAAATTTATACATGAATCAAAATGGATTAATTTCGAAAAATATTAAATTTTAACCACGTTTCGTGACTATTAAGTACCTTTAGTTTTGGTTGGACTATATTCCTTAAATCTGGCCAGGAATGAAACTGGATAATAAGAGCTTTACTTTCTTTACTCTCTCGCTATGGAGGCACGATGGACTAATGCATTCGTTTTGAAGGCGTTGAAAATTGCAAGCCAGTTGTCCTTCAATTAGCTATTTGAGCGAGGTCAAAGCGGAAATCAGTTGTCAGAGTTTGGTTATATATATTTAACATTCATAGGTCATATTAAAGGCAAGAGAACTACATTCCTTAGTTCCACTAGTTTTAACCTTCACAGATATGACCCACCATGCCACACAATAGCACGTAAGTGAATGTAATGGATTCGAACTCGTCCCTCCGGTTCCTCAGTCCGAGCCGCTATCCATTACTCCACCATGCCTCCTCACTCTACTGCCCCTATTCCACGGATGAAATATCATAAGAGTCCTGTTGTTCATGATGACGGTCGTCTTCGAGTATAGAATCCAGAGGCAGTGAATATTTTGAAGACAGTAGGAAAGCGTTGTTCAGGTTAGCAGTGGATATTTTGGTAAAAGTAGCAGAGCGTAGTTCTTCCTTCTGTTCCTCTTCGCCTGACAAGCTGGCACTGGACATTCGGATAGAGTAAACAAAATGGCCGCCTTTATACACGACGGATTGAATGTTCTACGTCTTCTGATTGGTTAAACTTCTATTGGTGGACTATAATGTGAGTCAAGTCATCTGGACTGGCTCACTAGTACATATATACACAAAAAACTGCAACAGGAACTCTGGCTATATACATTATTACTGGCAGCAGAGAAATGATTTCTCAAAGAGCCAATGTTATCCGGAATAAAGAATCTTGAGACTTGAACATTTTTAAGGTTTTTCAAACATACACAAAAAACGGCAACAAGTCTCGCTACTCTATCGGTATTGCTATGACAAATGTTCAGACGAATAACATTCCTTAGTTACACCAGTTCAGACCTTCCCAGCTCGGACAACTATGCCATATACACTGGGACAAATTATCCTCATTCCCTTCGTATTTCATTCGTAAGAAGGAAGATTCATTCGGACAACCACTTCCCAAGAACCGTTACTTTTAGAAACATGATCCCGAGGGAATTCTTCCCCGATTACGACTATCTTAACTTATACAAGTTTAGGGACAACCGTTTTCATTCCTACATATCCTCATAATATGTACTTATTAAACCCGCCTATGTTCATACAACAACCTATTTCATTAATCCTTTGACTTGATTAGATTTTAGGTCTTTTATTGGGTGAAAATTTAATCAGAGTAAAGTGTAATCTTTTGCTGACGGTAATTTAAAACAATTTGCTATTTTTATTAAGGAAGATGATACGTGTAAACATTGGTTTAGAAATAAGAAACGTTCGGGATATTGTTTTTCTAGAAAGAAATAGGTTTTTCTTTTAAAAATATTTTGTATAATCAAATGAATTTGGAAGAAAACACACGAAGCGGCGTGTGATAATCATGACTTCAATGTTAAGTTAAAATTGTATTTAATTACAATCGTGAATAAATACTTAACAAAAAACAAAGAAGTAAAAGTCAACCAAAGATAAGTAACCATTTTAGTGAATATCTTGTTTATAGTGTCGCTCAGCTTAACATCCGGTAAATCCTAACTCAGAACCCAAATCATCGATGCACAATAATTCACACTAATTCGACTGGATAGTTCCATTCAATAGTCACTCAATAATCACTGTAGTCAGTAGCCTGACACCGCTATTTATATACCTGGCGGAAAACATACATTCATAAATCCAGAGTGTCACGCTCGAACCTCGGTGTTGGTAGTTACTTATTTTCTTCCTTTATTACAATAATAGAAATAATTTATCACCAAAGAATGGTTTTCTTTATTTCTAAAGCATACGTGCATAGTTTTCTGTAGTGAAAATCGTTGAGTTACCATCAACGAAAAATTGACATTTTTTTTTTTGTAGAACGGCCTACCTTCAGATGATTGATATTTCATGCGGCCTCCTATTCTTCTTCTTTTTCCTACCTTGTTCCTTCAGTCGTCGCACATCAAAGGGTTACAATTTTCATAATCTTAAACCAATTTTGGACAAGTCTTCGAGTCTGGAACCAATTGGGGTTTCTTTCTCTCAATTAATCTTTTACTGTAGTGCGCCATGTTATTTTCGGACGACCTCTTGGTTTTTACAGCCTTGAGGTATTCAGTTTAGTGCCGGCCATCGGGTAATCGCAGGTTATAATATCGTAGGCTGTAATATTACACTCAGGTTTTTAGAATTTGTCCGTCTTCGGATTTCCTCGTTCCCCATTCTGTCACGCCAAGACACTTTTCATATTAATTTATATCAATCAAATTTCTTATTGTTTTAGGAGTAGCATTAACAAATTTTATATTAAGTTTTGAATTCTTTTCAAATGATCAGATATAGACGTTAAAAAATAACCATTTTCTTCGGGAATCTGTTGCCATATTATTTAAAGTAGTTCTTTCAACTATTGTTGGAATATTTTTTGAAGTTGTCTCGCAGACCGCTTTCGTAATTGCCATGTGCCTGGTCTCTCCAGGATGTCTGTAATCATGGCTATCCAGAATTCCCTGCCCTTTGTAGCTTTTTATCTTTTTGCTACCTTTCCTAAATCCTGCTCTGCCATCGATTTACATAAGCTCGTAAGTTATGAGCTGGTTTCATCGGTTCCTCTTGCCTTTAATATGTCAAGTGTGTGTCGAATTTTCTATGTCCTCTTTCCTCGTAAAAGTTTGCCTGCTTTATACCTTACTCAATTTCTGAAAAAAACAGATTTTTCTATATACGAATTCGGATTCCGGTGTCGCATATTGTCTTCTGGCACTGCTGTTGCCAGATTATAGAACTTCTCAAATAAAATATGCCATCTTTATTAAATATACCATCTTTATTTAAACGTCATGAGTATGACGATAAACTACATCCACGTCCAGGGTAAGACGATAAACTACGTCCAACAGCAAGGCCTCTGATCAGGAGGCTTTGAGGAGCGTGGAACCACCTCTGAATTGCTGATGTTCCTAGGTCCACCCTGACCCGGGGCGGTAGCACATGTTAGGGTCCCAACTATGGGCAAATAGTTAACCCTGAAACTGAGGTGAAAAGAATTATGAAAGTGTAAAAATAGGTTTTTATACCAGAAATACTTTGTAAAAAATTATTACCAGAAATAAATTTTTGAAAGAAAAAACTATTACCATGAATACGTTTTTGTAAAAAAATATTACCAGCAAGACATTTTTGAAAAAAAAAATATTACCAGCAACACGTTTTTGAAAAAAATATTACCAGCTATACAATTTTGAGGAAAACATATTACCAGAAATAAATTTTTGACAAAACAAAAATATTACCAGGAAAAAAAAAGTTGGCATTAAATGACCTATTGAGGTTGATATGCCATAAAACAAAACAAACTTTATTTAAAAATATAGCATTTTTATTAAATATTAAATATCTTTATTAAATATACTATCTTTATTAAAAAAAATCTACCATCTTTATTAAATATTAAATATCTTTATTAAATATACCATCTTTATTTTAAAAAAAAATGGAATTTGGCGAAGCTGGAAACTGAAATGGCAAAGCCATTCTGCCTTGAGTAAAGTTTTCGTCAAATGATCAATGTTCTGTCGATGGGGAACAATCGTTAACCTGTTTTGTCAGAATTCGATCAGTTCAGGAAACGAGCTTCCACCGTCACATAAAAGTAACGGAAACAAAGAATGAAAGAAAACAGAAAGAAGACGAATAAAGGAAGGCTGGAAATATAGTTTGATTAGTATATGACTAGAAGGGGGGGATTTGGGGTGACGTTAGGGAATTCAAGGGGACGGGAAAGGGATTGGATAGAGAGGGTAGAGGTAAAGAAGAGAGAAATAAAAAAAGGTGAGCGGGTAGTTAAAAAGGGAGCAAATTACATAAGTGGTGTAGGGGGGAACGTTAATTTAAGGGGTAAAAAAATTATATCATTTCTTTTCAAGGTTTGCAGAAAAAATCGATTATCTTTGTGCTAACAGGAAATTTTTTGTTATCAAACGAACCTTAATGACGGTTTATTTATTTATTATTATTTATTTTCGTTCTGGATGTGCGGGAATTGAATAAGGAGGAGATAAAAAAGAAACAAAACAAAAAAGAAAGAAAGAACAGAGGTGAAATAGTGGTAAACTGATAAATGTTATTTCTTTTCTTCTTTTTTTTTAATTTTATTTATGCATTTATTTTTTGCTTTATTTATTTAGTTATTGCTGTTATTATCCAATCGCCGACCAAGTTCGGCTAATGCGCGTTGTGCTTTTTCTGGACTTGCCTGCATTGCCCGATAGCCAGAGAACAAATGTAATATAAGCCATTCTGCGATGTCCTATTTTATGAGATAAGGGATTATCACTTTATTTCATGCAGTTGCACGTTCATACCCTTCTTCTTCTTCTTCTTCTTCTTCTTATTATTATTATTATTATTATTGTTGTTGTTGTTGTTGTTGTTGTTGTTGTTGTTGTTGCTGCTGCTGCTGCTTACGGCCACATCGCGTTAAAACACCGGTTCCCGTACGATCACCGACGTTAAGCAATGTCGAGCTTCGTCAATACCTAGACGGGTGACCGTTTGAGAATACGAGCTGCGGTAAGCTTGGATGTGCGGGTGGTGTAATGGATAATGGCACGAAATTGTTTAATCGGAGAGCCGAGTTCTAATTCCCATTGGGTTTGTTACATTCACTTACGCCTTTGGGAAATATATGGTTCCATCTCTCTGGCCCCAGCTATGGGTTAATTAGTAAAACTTGTATCAGTAAGTCAGTGCCATACGTAATACGCGCTTGGGCGCTCATGTCTCTTTCGATTCATGACTAACTAAACGGGATATTTTCCTGCGTTAGGTTGACATGTATTTCTGCAGTAGACCGGTTGTCACCCAAGGCTATAGAACACAGTCTTGCCTACTATTTACCCATAGCTGAGGGAAGAAGAATTGGATTCATGCCTTTCCTAAGGGTATTAGCATGTAAGTGAATATGCTAATAGACTTTTATCACTAAATCATTATTACCTTCAAAAGAATTCTTACAATCTAAAAAATATTTTCTGGCTTTAAATAACCTGCAAAAGGTTCACTATTTACATTATTCGAACTATTGTCCCATCATTGTCGCCATATTTATTACAACGTTTCGGCCGTTGTATGCTCCGGCCTTCTTCAGGTGGTTGGAATGCCGAACTGAACCCTTTATTTTATAACTTTATTTGTATTTGCGATAGAAATAATTTGTAAAAAATGTTATAAAGTTTAATGTACCTAGTTTTAAGTGTAGCTAAAATAACTAATGTGATTTCAGGCATTACTGTAAATCAGTTGGCAAATGTTTTCCTTGAACTGCAAAATCGTATTACCCTTTGTATTGCTAATGAAGGAGGATATGTAGAAACTTAAATAAAATTTCAATAAAACCTTAAAAAATATAGATATACTTCTTTCTAATCCTTTTTAAAAATTATTTCTATCGCAAATACAAATAAAGTTATAAATTTTTTAAAGTGCACATGAACTCTATGGACACTCTGTATCTTATAAGACAAAAAGTACAATGAATTAATCAATAGGTAAACCTAAGTCCGATCTACATTAAAGACAATGCCATAAACATACGTTTGGTTTGTACTAGAGTAACATGGTGGACATAATAAGTATATTCAAAAAGATAAACAAGAGTTCAGTTCACATTTGAGACGTAAAGGTTGAGATGAGTCTAGTCTTATATTAGAATGAAAAGGTAACCACAGGTACGGTTCATACTCAAGTAAAAAAATGTGGGAATAGATCCGGTTTACACTAGATTAAAAAATGAGGGTATAACTAGATGAAGAAAGGTAGACATGGGCCCAAATTACACTAGAGTCAAAATGATGGACACACGTCCAGTTTGCATTAGAATAGTAAAGGTTGGCAGAGGTTCGGTTGGCACTAGATTGTAAAAGGTGGACACAGGTTTGGTTTCTGTTTAACTCATAGAGGTTGATACATGTCCATTTTATACTCGAGGGAAAATGTCGACATAGAACTTGTTTATACCGACGTTCAAGTATCCACGTGGAAGGTAGGTCCTTTTTTACGGGCTATGGTCTTACCCCTCTGCAGAGATTACCGCTGGCTTATTCTAAGGTCCTCTGACAGGGAAAAGTGTCCGTCGATTCACAACGATGATGCCGACATTCCAATCTGTTAAATAAGCGACCCCCCCACCAAAAAATATTAAAATTAAAATAAATACATTAATAAACAGAATAAAAGAAAAAAGGCAAGAAAAAAGACGTAAAATGTAAAATAAATATAGTGTAACAATGCCGGGAAGCAGAAATTTCGTTTTTAACTCAGATAAAGGAAAAGAGGAAAAATGATTTGCTTATATTACGTAGATGATACTATTTCTCAATCGAGAAAAGTGATTTTGGCTTTCGAGGTTTTCATTCGAAATTGTTATAAAAACGATATTGAATTTGTTGTCTGCTTTTACAAGTAAAAGTAGAAAAGCGTAAGTGCGAGGCTATAAGGTAAAAAGTGCTCGGCTATAAAGCAAAAAGGACAATGAGATCTTTGTGGAGGAGTGATATATTGAGAAAGTACTTACGTAAGAGGAAAGAAAAAATTCTTAATATTACATTGAATATTTCTTTGAGACTATCACTCAGCGTTTCTTTAATATGAAGAAAATCGCGTTCTTCTGGTGAGTGTGATGTTTAATTGAATATATCAATGACGACTTTTTCTTTCAAATAGAAGTTGTTTTTTTTAACTGAGGAGTGCATACTTAAGTGGCCATGAATACACATATATATATATGCATACATATATATATATATATATATATATATATATATATATATATATATATAAAAGTGTGTGTGTATATATGTGTGTGTCTCTATGTCTGTGTGAGTCTGTGTGTGTAATGCATCATAATGAATATATCCGAAATGGAAAGAGAAAAAATAAAGTATACGGGTTGGATTTGTCACCGCCAAAGAGTAAATATGTTAATGCTTGGCAGGTAAATAGATAGATAGATAGATATGATCAACTTGAGATAGATAGCCAGTCAGTCAGCTTCCAAAATGACATGATTAAGCATTCGTCAAATAAAAATCATGATAACGAATGGTGTCTTTTTATGTTTTGTCTTGTTTTTTTTTCTTAGGGAATATTTCTCTTAATTTGTTCATATTCTAAGTTTAAAGGATATATATATTTTTGTGGGGAAAAAGCGTGTATTTGTAAATATATATATATATATATATATATATATATATATATATATATATATATATATATATATATATATATGTATGTATGTATGTATGTATATATGGCATATGGCAAGAAGTGGGTATACAGTAATGTAAAACAAAAGACGCTCAGGAAATGTATTGATTATACAAATATATCAATTCTAACATATCAATAATAAATGGTTATTAATTAAATAAATTTAATAAAATAATAATTTAATTTAATAGAATATTAAATGACTCCTAGAACCACTATTATAATACTGGTAATAGTGAAATAATACTTAGTGTATAGGTACTTTGGCAGCCCCACCACCGTATACAGGGTTTATCAAAAATAATTTCACAAACTTTGTGGGTAGGTTCCATACAACAAAAACAGGACAAAAATCCTATAAACGTATGACGGCAAATCATTCGTTTTTGAGTTTTTAAGTTTAAATATTCCGTATAAGCTATTAAATGTAAACTCCAAGAGATAATCCAAAAATACGTTTCCAAAACTTTTGGAGCAAGTTTCTAACATCAAAACAAGGTTGGTTTGGTTTGTTTTGTTTTACGGCGTATCAACCTCAATGGGTCATTTAATGCCGACAACTTGTTTTTTCCTGGTAATATTTTTGCTTTATCAAAAATCTATTTCTCTTAATACTTTTTCTCAAAAATGTATAGCTGATAATATTATTTTTTCAAAAACGTATAGCTTGTAATATTATTTTTTCAAAAACATATTATCGGAGGCCTTGCTGTTGGACATAGTTTATCGTCATATTCAGGATGCGGATGTAGTTTATCGTCTTACCCAGGACGCGGATATCGTCTGAGTGTTAACTATTTGCCCATAGCTGAGACCCTAACAGGGGCTACCACCCCGGGTCAGGGTGAACCTGAGAACATCAGCAATTAAGGGGTGGTTTCACGCTCCTCAAAACCTCCTGATCAGAGGTCTTGTTGTTGGACGTAGTTTATCGTCATACCGAGGACGCGGATGTATTTTATCGGCATATCCAGGACGCCCAAAACAAGGTAAAATGTCCATAAAAACATATGTTCAAAAGGCCAGCGTTGTACCTCAATACAGCAACTCATAACAAATCTTCAAAAATGGCGGTGACATTTTAAATTAAAACTGTTATTAATAATTTTTGAACAAAAGTTCATCGAATTATAATAAAGAAATCAATTATTTTGCAGATATATATATATATATATATATATATAAAATAATATATATATATACACATGCATATATATATATATATATATATATACATACATATAAATACATACATATACATACATATACATATATATATATATGTAGATATACATGCATATATATATATATACATACACATATATATATACATATATATATATATATATATATATATATATATATATACACACACACATATATATATATACACCTTCTTCTACGCACACATGCACCCTGTCAAATATTCCTACACGTTGTCTAATGGTTTCGCAGGCCCCCATGACACGTTGATGAAGCTTCTCTGCATTATTAATATCTGCTGCATAAGCCACATTTTTTAGGTGGCCTCTCAGGTAAAAATCCAAAAGATTGAGGTCGGGAAACCATGGAACCGATTCTCTCCTACCTATCCATCCATCTTGGTAGATGTCAGCCTGTGCATCGCAAACAATGTGACAAAAATGTGCTGGAGACCCATCATGCATGAACCATATGCGCATTCTTATTAGCAGGGGTAAATCCTCTAGAAATAAAGTCTCTGTATAAAGCTCCTATAAGACGTGCTGGGACAACATATGGACCTACCAGACAGTCAACAACAATTCCAGCCTACAGATTAATAGTAAACTGATGCTGGTGTCTAGCATGTATTGTACCATGGGGGTTCCGATCCGCCCACAAACGTTGGCTGAATAAATTTGTTATTCTATCTCTTCCAAATGTTGTCTCATCCGTAAACAAGACGGAAGAGGTAAACAACGAATTAACAGTTTGTGAAATAAACCATCCAGAAAAGTTCACCAATGATGAGTGATCAAAGGGCGAAAGCACCTACACACGTTGCAAATGATACGAATACAGGAGCTGCTCTTGAAATACACTCTATTTCGTACTATGAGTTGCATGACGTTCTCAGGCCACTTGACGTGTGCTGATAGCTGGATCGTCTCCGATTGCCTGTAGAATGTGTTCTTCGTTGTTAGGCGTACGAGCGGATCTCAATCTTCCCCGATCCATAGTTTGTAATACCACGGATCCTGTCTCACCAACGCGATGATAAACAGAAGCAAAGATTGAATGACCCGGCTGCCTTAGGTCTGGAAACAGAATCCGATACAGCCGTG